ATTTATACTAATTATACGACCTTCTCAGCTCACATTATGAGAACACAATAAATAACAAGTGCCCCTTTAATTTTATAAGTTTATTAGTTTCAGAAATATTTAATATTTCTTGGTAGACATATTTTATTTATCAATTCTTTTCCTTTACGAGGTCATTTATAAAATTATTTAAAATATAAAAATTAATAAAGATTACAAATCGTTGTGTGTTGATGCTGAAAGAGAAATTGCCCCTAGTTTCAACTTCACTCGCCGAGGACAACATTGATCCGTAGCTTGCTGACGTCACATCTTTCAGTCTGCTATTTGTACACATAGATCGATACAAATGCAGTTGGATTTGTGTGAGGTTCGGCATAATTGATTCTGAGATAAGAACATGTTTCTTTGTGGGTTTCCTCAGCCCCGCCTTTGCACTGCAGTTTATTGAGGTGAAGATTGGTGATATAAATTATTGATCAGAAAGAAGGAGAGGTGATCTCCTACATAAAAGCATTATCCTGGTACTGGCTTAGAAGAACCAAGGAAAGCTGTAAGAACTTTTTATGGCAGACATGAGCAGAGGTATTCTTGAGAAGGTGGTAATTGCTCTGAGGTTTAAGAAATATTTCACCATTAATGGAACCAACATTTTTTATGCCGTGGTTACACGAGCCTGTCAGTGGCATCAGCGTTGAGCCAGATGAATCCAGCCTAAATAGTCAGACCGTATTTCATTATGACCTAGTTTAGTATTCATTCATCTGTGCCTAAGTCTGCAAAGTGTTCTGTTCATTTATGGTTTCCTCTTTTGAAATGTTTTATTAATTTCTTTCTAATGCGTGATACCTATACAAGCAATTTCATCTTAGATAATTAGATAACGTATATACTATTTGGTGAAGAATATAAATTATGACGTTAATAATAAATTAACACAATTTAATAACTTTAATTTATGTAATAATAAGGTACTTTTGTAGTGTAGAGCTGTTAAACTGTAGAAAGATCTGGGTGAGGAAATTCCTCAAGTCGTTTCAGAAACGGGATATTCTGTTTAAGACGTAAGAAGCTGCTTCTTTCCGTTCCACAGAAAGGTTCTTTACAAATCGTGGCTTTATAGCAATTTATCGTGATTTATCGAAGCACCGATCCTCTCAATTTGTAAAGTACTGACACGGGATGCGAATGGAGAGTAGTGGAATTGTCAAGGGTTGAGGTTGCAGGAGACTTATTCGGTTTGAAGCTTAAATTGTCATTCCTACTCCGAAGGAAACCGCTCATGAATAAGAATAAAATTGCACAAATGGAAAGTGCTATTAAAGAAGACGCCACGGTATCTGAAAAATGTATGTAGTAGGTCTAGTTCGTAAGATATTCCTAGTTCTGGAAAGAAAATGGTGGGGGACTAGTATGGAGCAGATAAGCAGCGACTTTGAACATTTCTTGATGGAAAAAATCCTCTTGAAACCCACCCACTTCCGTACTGCACTCGTCTATGTATCCAACATGGCGAAATAATGATCGATAACAAACGTTTTCCGATCCGGACTTCAATTCCATTAATCGCCCATTAGAAACGCTCCACTTCCATCCAAGATCGACTTGGAATACCAATGCAAACTGACTGGAAGGTTGGTGCCAAGGAAAGGGGAAGAAGAAATTTCGACACAAAACGGTCCTTCCTTTACATTTCAGTAAACATGTCCAAATTTCTCCACCGTTTGTTGTGTGTTTTGACTCAAAAAACGTAGGACGTTACTTTCATTAAAACTGGAGTTCAGTGTTTAATGACTTATGTCTTGTCCCTTTAAACATACAGAATTAACAAACTATATATGTACATTACATTACGGTTAGCACGCTGGCCTTGTAATCCTGGGGTCTCGGGTTCGATTCCCGGCGGTGCCCGAATTTATAACTTGTGTTGGGCAAGGCCGTGGTCTAGGCAACACGGAGTTTTCCTCCGGGGGCTTCCCCGGTTTCTCCGTGACATCCCAACAATTACTCCATTCACACACAGAAGAAGGCAATGGCAAACCACCTCTGGATCATCTGCCAAGAACGTATATGAACAGGTCCCAGCCCGAGAAAAGGATGGAAGGACCCTGTTGTCAAATGCAATGGATTTTGTTTGTTAATAACGTTGATTATTGTTCCACAATCGAAACATATCATTCAGGGGCGATGCCAGTAACAACGCTGATTCAGTACTTACTGGAAATTGTTGAGTAACAGATGACTAAGATACTTCTAATCGTGGAATTTCATTGTGTATTCTGTACGTATTATGGGCTTTTATTGACCTTGTTTGGTGTTAGCTAATTACAAAAGTAAATTAACTACATTGAATGAATTGGGTAATTGTTTGATTTATGGGCATAAGTTGTGCCTTGTGATAAATTAAGATCTGCAACGTGCACAATTATTATCGATATAAAATATCCGTGTTGAATTGATTTTCTATGTAATCGTGCTGGTGTTTTAATTGTAGTTTTAAAACGTCGACTCTGTAAACCATATGTATCTTACCATAATTTCGTGCATCTGTGCATAGATGTTTTCTGTTGCTCATAAACGTTTGGTACTGATGTGGAAGTTCTTATATGAGATCATATACGAATACAATACTGGGGTGATGTAGCTGTTAATTTCAAATTTGAAGATTTTGCAGTGAAATTATAGACTGTGGTCGTCTGAGTTGTGGTGACGTGTGGACTTATAGTATAATTCAATATTTCAGAGAAACATTTCTCCTCCGTCTTGAGGGTTATGTAATTGACTCGTCTGAAAAAATATATTTCTTCCATTTTATGGGAAGGGGAGGTAGGTATGAATTTTTGTTACCCTTATTTTGTACTTTTGTAATAGATTGTTCGGAACAAAAAATATTTCGTAGAGATGTTTTCTCTCTTGACAAGGTTATGTCTGCTATGTTATTATTTATTTCTTGAAGTACCGCGCTAACTTCCTTGGTAATTATATAGTATTTTAGATTATCTGCATCATTTATGTGGCTTACGGTTCAGTGCTAAGTGTAAGTGGAACTGCTTGATTATATTATGATGGTTTATTTTGTAGTCTGCTACATCTAGTGATCAGACTTCTATAATGTTCATTGTCGTTGTTGGATAACATAAAAATCTTTGACACTTTGTCGTGGTTCTTATCATTTGGCACCATTTATATACTAACATTTTAAATCATCATATTCTGCTCACTGACACTATTATTAAATTATTAGTTTATTTGTTTCTCATTTGTGCTAAACTTGTTAGTTTATAATTGGCTCCTGTAACATTTCGAGGACTTTATGAATTATGTGAATAGTTGTTTATATCGTAGTAATAATCATCATCGTGGCTCATCGTCATCGAATATCTGCTTGGTGTGGCTTCAGTACAGGAACTATGGGCTAAAGAGAAAAGGTGTCTACATCGGGAATTCCACGGACGTTACAGACTGTACACCTCGGGAATTCCTAAATAAGGCGTACACAAATTCCTCAAATTACGCTCACTTTAGACATGGCGTTCCATACACGGACATGATGGAGGGGTTTTAATATGAATAACCACTTGTGGCTAGACGTCAGAAGGAAGAGATGTGTGTTCTATTTAGACCTATAGCGAAACAACTTTAACAGCAAATCAGTCTCCTTTGTGTGCCGTATGTTGTTTAAAATGTTGTTTCCAAATATAGTGAAGCCTATATATTGGCCTTAATTTTACTGAACATATACGATGGTAGTAAAATGCTCAGTGAAAGTGTTTTCTCCTCAAACATAAAACAACTTACACGTAATTTCAGTGGCGTAGTGAAGACCTGCCTATATTACAGATTTTATCGGTTAATACGTCGTGAACTAATGACGCATTAATGTTTTGACAGCCGGATAAACACATTCTACTAGATGCGTTGTTGCGTAAAATGTAGGTAAATACGGTCTCGGATGTTTATCCAATAGCAACGCAATTATATATAGTAGTGCTACTGCTGTTGGGATAATGGTTTTCTATTTTACAGAGGCTAAATAAATACTAATCGATTACTCGTTATTTTACATCAGAGATAAGGGCATTAATTTACGAAAACAATGCTCTATGTGATAAAAGATTGGGCGAAATATTTTTAGGTAGATTGGGTTTATATTGCATAGACCTAATATTTCCATATTATAATATAGGCATGCGTATATTAGTAATCAGATCTGAATATCCAAATCATATTTTAGTCTTTGTACTACTGAGACTTAACGGCATCGAATTAATCCTAACCCGTAAAGAAATTGGTAATTGGTGAATCTGTGACTGGCGGAAGAAACACCCGACCCGACGTTCGTTTTAACAAAAGCCACGTAATGTTCCACTGATCTCTCAACACGTAAGCTAATTTACGACTGTAATTTATTTGATGTATAAATATCAAAGTCTTTGTGTGTTTAACATTCACAGATCAGTTCTTTAGTTAATGATTACACTAGCCTTGATTCCAATGGCTTTAGGGTGATAAATATAGACCTATCCGTAAAGTAAAAAAAATTACGTGGGTTTGGTCACTTAGTAGTTTGCCCCTTTGGGCAGCGGTTATATGTTTAAGGCGTTAACGTATAATATCCAGCATTATGCTTCATTACGTATCACTTTCTGAAAATATTTTTGTGAGTAGGCTTACCCTTTGATATAATATTAAAAAGGATCTTTGTTAACTTAAACACGACTCAGTAATATGAACTATGAACAGAGGGAAGCGACCGTGAACATGTGTGTGGGATGCTTCAGTATTTTCCAAGAAATTATTCTAATATCCTAGTAACAGGAACTGGTTCTTTGTGAAGATAATTTGCAAGAAATGTTGTCATCAACGTAATTTCCGCCATCAAGTCTCTCATCATCTACGCTGTAATAATAAACTGCTACAAAAAGAACATCAAAGTCAATTCTTTTTACTTTGGGTCAGTATCTTTCGTTAGAATGACCCGAATCCTACAGATTACTTCGAGTTTATTTTCTTGTTTTCAGAACCAGTGACGTGGATGAATTTGACCGTACGTCTACTGGTGCAGTCTCTGATTGTTCTTGTGGTAAGTGTATAAATCATGAATTTAAAGTAAACTTTTTGTGAGAGCTCTAATAAAATAATTGAGAATCTATTTTTCTCAAATTGTAGAAGATTCTTAAATTATTTTTGAACGTGGTGCGATTTAGTTTTATAAAACACGTTCAAACCCGTCTTTCGATATGTATTACGTGGATCAATTGCGTTTATGTAAGGCAATACTTATTCTCTGTCGACTCGAATGTTTAAGTAGTTTCTTATCTGTAGCTTAATTAAAGCAGAATGAAGAAGACCACTTCCTTATTCATTCTTTACAGTTAATTATTCAGTAAGACAGTAAGAATCCTACCATTCAGCCATAAACATCATAGTTTGAACTATCGACAGTGTGTTTCAGTGTTTTAATGTTAAATTTCTTTTCTGATTATGATGTTGGGACAATAAACGTCTTGTTTAAACTTTAAAATTGTATCGGTATGTCTTACTTCTCCTCTTTAGTGGTTGTCCAAGATTTCGTCCTCCGACAGGTCGGTAGTCAGAAAATTCGTTTAGGTGCCTGACGTCACATTCTTCAGTCATCTAACAAGTTTTATTTTACTACTCGTTTTGGACTAGGGATATGTCAATTTTGCTCATATGTCTGTAATTTACTTTCTGGTCTAATAAAACGCAAACTGCTGTGTCTCACGAGTGGTTCTCCTTCAGTGCCCGCATTTCAAAGTGATGGGTTGGATTCATGAGATCGGATCAGTTTATTTTTAAAAGCAAATGTCCGATAATATTCAAGTCAGCAGTGTAATAGTCTGGTACAGTGAAATGCCTAACGGTGATGGAGATAATGCAAAACGTTGCAGTAGAATACCTGGATACCACACCCATTCCAATATACCACAGGCTTGCAACCGAAACAAGGATATAACTGCCAGATAATTTACTAATGTAACCGATAAACTGTCAGCGTTACAATATCTGACCATTCCATTCATATTTCGGTGGTCGTTTGTTGTACAAAGGCGTGTACACCGCGTTTGGTAAATAACTGTGTGAAATAGAATGGTCAGTGGCGAGAATCCTTCAGTCAGGGGGGGGGGGTCCTCTTACGTGTGCTGAAGTGAATAAATAATCAGACTCAATGGAAGAGGGTCCTTGAGGATTTAATAGTCGATCAGCTGGTCAAGGAAATTTACTGTCTTTCATAGGGCCCGAGGGTGTATTGCCTTGTTCACCAGATAATAAGTGTTAACCACATAACAAATATTGATCTGTCTGTCTAATGTGCATATTGAGAATACACACGACTTATTTAAACTGTGGTCTTTGTATTGAAGATCTTGGCTATATAATGCTATTTTTAGTAAGGAGCAACACTAGGAAATATACAACATTGCAAACTCTACTGTAAGATTACACAGATTTTACGGCATAATAGTTTTCCTTGTAATTTGTTGAATAATATTTGGTACCAAAGTGGTAGGCCAGAACGAAATTCATGTTTCATGCAAAATTCATGTTTTGCTTTATAAGCAGTTATTGATCATTTGAAGTTAGAAATGGACTGAAAAATAAGTAGGCGTGTTATTTAACTAATATGAACGTAAGTACAAAATTGAAATTAAATATTTCATTTTCGGTGACGAACGGGGTAAGAAGTCAGAAGACAGTTATCATTAGACTCACCGCCGTGCAAACTTCAAATCCTGAATGGATCTTGAATAATTACACTGTATGGAATGCTTGTAACTATAAAACTTGCATAACGAAACGTGCAAATGCATTAATTTCCTTTAAAGTACGTTTTTCTGTTTACACTAAAATACGGCATCTAAATTCCTAAAATTACCTCGTTCACCCACTATGCTCCAATTTTCAATAGTAACATTATTTATTCAAATGGACAGTGTTATTCAATGTCAGCTTCACAGAGCTAATTCATTTGTTACCGTTTGTTCACAAGCGTTTGGCGAAACATAACATCGGTGATAAACCCTGAAGAAGATTAACACAGGCAAACTAGCAAACACAGCAGTAACAACATAAACTTTTCAGTGGCTATCGTTTGGAATATTTCGAAAAGAAGGGAAAACTCAAATCACCAGTCAGCTGCTAGCTAACCTCGGCTAAAAACGGTGAAAAACTTCGAGCCTACGGAAGGATCATCAGAGACATCTGTTGTATTCAGTCTTAAATGTTGGTTATAATTATATACAAAATATTAGAGGAGTAGAACAGTAAGCCTTATCAAGTTATTCTCCAAAATATTATATATTTTAAATTTATTGCATTCACTGCACATAAATTGCGCTATAAGGACTTAATTATTTCTTCGCTAATTAAAGAAAAATTACGTGGCAGGAGAATTCGGAATGTGTGGTGAGATCTGAAGGTGCATACAAGAATTTATTCGGAAAACCTGAGGGTAAGAACCTCTTGCAATGTTCAGACGCAGATGGGAGGATAATATTAAAATGTATCTGTAGGAAATTAATTCGGACTAGAATCATCTGGCTCAGGGTAGGGTCATTTGCCGGAATTTTGTAAACACGATAATAAATCACATTTTTACTAAAGAAATATTATGAATGTCGTGGCTGTAAACAACTGTTACCTTCTAAAGGAAGACTGCTTGACGGAATTAGTTGCATAAGCCAGACGACTTTAATTATTATTTATTTCTGATGTAAATATTATAGTACGCATATTTTCAGGCTCAGACGTATATGTTCTTCATAAACAGGTGTTTCTCTATACCGGAAATCGTGTTTGAGTTTCTTGCAAACGTATTGCACGAATGTAAACTCCTGCTGGCAGTGAAATTCGAATTTTGGTAACAGAGCTAATGGAAAACGCTGGGGGGCCGTCAGGAAGTTAAACCGAGCCAATTCGGAAGAGAAGGAAATATCCCTCAGTACTGGGAATTTAGTCAACAAACATTTGAAGATTTCAAATAGTTCCAGGAGGATGGGAAACCACTTTGCATTTCGATTTGAAATTCGTGTATAGAATTGACCACTGGTTTGAAGTACGAAGTCGTTTATAACTTTTATGGGTTCTGTACGATAAGGTTCGTGTTAGAACTTCGATTCCTAATCGATACAAACTCTTTGAGATGTTTGGAAATGACCTAGCGTGTGCCGAAGGTTATGAATCTGAAGGCAACACCTCGGCTGGCTGTAAGAGAATACAATACTTTTTGGTTTAATTTTAAAGACAGCTTTTCAAATACACGTGACAGCTACACAAAAGACTACTTTCTTCAGTTCCATTACTTCTGATTTGGTGCGTAAAAGTATATGCTTTCAGTTATTTATTTCCAGTTTCTGCTTCTTGGAAAAAGTGAACAATGTTCAGTTCTGATATGTCTTCGTGGGTAATTTTCTAATGTTATTAGTTAAAAGAATATAATAAAGTGATATTTACTTCTACTATACATAAAAGTTGATTTACGAAACACTATGAAGTTTCCTCATGCAGTAATTTAAAGCAATTTTTATTTTACTTTTTTGAAATGTTTAGAAAATTTTGGAACCCTGGGAGAATGATACTCATATGGATTTTATGTGATGGGGTATAAATGTAAAATATGATGCAACTACTCTAGGATAGAACGTAGTGGGTGGCTTCGTAATCCAGCAAAATCATTATCTACTGTGTCTCTACGCATTATTTTAAACTTCATCCTGCAAAATATATTCAGTGCTGTCAAGAGTTTTAAATGACGTGGCGTGGAAATAGAATACCTCGCATTCTGTGCGCAAATTTTGCGGAAAATTTATGCCAGGACTGATACGCGAATTTATCCGATACCCGGTCTGATACGCGAACGGATGGGCATACTGATGTCAGAGTCATCAGGACGTACGAACTGCTCTCGGGTAGAAACAGAATTTCAGATTCGGGAGGTATTAATACATGCCCCTGTAGATTAACATCAAAATTGTATACGCTGATCATTATACTGGATCAAGTTGATGGAGCTGTGACTTGTCGTGTCTTTGTTGGTGAATTATTAACACATACTTGTATGTGTTTATATGTTTTTAGGATTGCAATTAATGCAAGAAAGTTGTGCACAAAAGATTTAGTTTAATTTATGTTTGTTACTGGCACTTTGGGTGAAATTAAGCAGGAATATCGACTCTCTTTTGTCATCTTGTTATGAAGCACTGCGCTAGGTCCATAGTCCAACGCATGAGAGCTTTGTCGCTCTTCATATTATCACTCGTGAGACTTCACAGACTTCGCGTTGTGTGCTCTTCGTAACTATAAACGTACTGAAGGTCCGACTTCAGAAGTTAATGTATCGTTACACGTCACATTTAAACCTATGTTTGGAGTCTTTATGAAGACTAAGTAATAGTGTAATTTAACAAACATGGTTAAAGCACTGTGCTGCAGTTAATGATCTTTTAGATGTTTACAAGGTTCATATTAAAGTTCTTGGGACTTAACTCTAAAATCTTAAAAGATGTATGTAAAGGGGTCCGATGAATTTAAACAAAAAACAATTTACTTCGTACCTCCAAAATTTCTTCCGTACTCCAACCCACGCCTTTCATGTGTTTGTTCCACTGCCATTCCACTCCCCTTTCTTCATTTTCTTTGCCTCTTTCGTAACTCTGTGTCCAGTTCCTGTGTGAGAACAAGTAACCATTCACTAAAGGCATTAGAATAAAACGCACGTTGAATTGGATTACTTGTGTGAGATTTCAGGTTCTGACGGCCGAAAGTATGAAGATGGCTGTTTTATGAGTTCTTTCGTCATGTAGTCTGGTAGATATTTCTGGTGAAGGCGGCTGCCAGCGTCTCTGAAACGTCGGTAAACTTTTAGCAGACTACATAACGTAACAACCCAGAATACAGCAGTCGTCGTGGATTATTTTTGTTAAATGGATGATGATTTTATT